TGTGAACTGGTGAAGCACCAGGACTCACAGTGTTAAGGACTCTCAGCTCTAGATCTGGGGTAGTCACTCCCCACCAACTCCCAACTGAAATTCAGATGCAGCTTTAGTATTTGGTCATTCTGCAGTCCTTTCCACCACCCCCGCCCCCCGAGTAAAGGATATTTTTGGTTTTTTTTGTTTTTGTTTTTGTTGTATATACTTTAAGTTCTGGGGTACACGTGCAGAACGTGCAGTTTTGTTACATAGATATATACGTGCCATGGTGGTTTGCTGCACCATCAACCCGTCATCTACATTAGGTATTTCTCCTAATGCTATCCCTCCCCTAGTCCCCCACCTCCTGACAGGCCCCAATGTGTGATGTTCCCCTCCCGGTGTCCATGTGTCCCCATTGTTCAGCTCCCACTTATGAATGAGAACATGCAATGTTTGGTTTTCTGTCCTTGTGATAGCTTGCTGAGAATGATGGTTTCCACCTTCATCCATGTCCCTGCAAAGGACATGAACTCATTTTTTTTTACGGCTGCATAGTATTCCATGGTGTATATGTGCCACATTTTCTTTATCCAGTCTGTCATTGATGGACATTTGGGTTGGTTCCAAGTCTTTGCTATTGTGAATAGTGTCACAGTAAACATACATATGCATGTGTCTTTATAGCAGACAGTGTGGCAGTTCCTCAAGGATCTAGCTAGAAATACCATTTGACCCAGCAATCTCATTACTGGGTATACACCCAAAGAATTATAAACCTCAGTCCTTTTCGGACACTCCCCGTGTGTGGGCCCTTGTTATGCTAGTCACTTGGAATGCAGAGATGAATGTAGCACAGTCACTGACCTTGGGATACTCACACTCCAAGAAAGGAGGAAAAGCCTGAAGCATGGTGCATTACATACATGATGGTGAGAAAGATGCCCCTGATATACAATGGGATGCATCCTGACAACCTTATCATAAGTCAAAAATAGAGGTAAGTTGAAATGCATTAAGTAATCCCATCATGAGGTCAAAAATTTTAAACCATTGTAAGTTAGGGACCATCTGTGTATGTCCCCAAAGCTGAGAGGAGTGAAAAATAATTTCTCCTAAGGTAGAGTTAAGAAAGTTTCCCATGGGATGTGGCATTTATACAAGATGGAGTGAATCTGGAGGCACAGGGGACATAGGCAGAGAAATGGCACCTGCAAGGCTCAGTGGCACAAAGGAATGTGTGTAAATGAAGCATGATTAATCGTCGCATGTAGCAGCATAAGGAACATGTGCAGCAAGGTGAGGGCTGAGTCCATGAAGGTAGGTGGAAGTAACTGAGAAAGGAGTAACTGCAGATTGGAAGGGCGGAGACAGAGTATTCATTATTCATAGACAATATGGTTGTTAACAAAGAAAATCAAGAGACTTTGAGGGCTACACCTTAGAACCAGTGAGAGGTCGGCAAGATGGGTAGATATAAGGGAGTGTTAGGGTGGTTTTGTAATGGTAGTTGCCTGTAATCCCAGCTACTCTGGAGGCTGAGGCAGGAGAATCGCTTGAACCCAGGAGGCGGAGCTTGCAGTGAGCCAAGATTGCGCCACTGCCCTCCAGCCTGGGCGACAGAGCAAGACTCCATCTCAAAAAAAAGAAAAAGAAAAAAAAAAAGGAATCGTAGTTACCTCTTAATTGATCCAAAAGCCAATGCGATTTCAATCAAAATCCCAACAGGTCTTCCAGGTACTTGACAAGCTGGTCGTAAAACTCAGAAGGAATTTAAAAGGACAAAATGTTGAAGACAATTTTGAAGAATAAAGAGAAGGAGTCTTGCTATAGCAGAAATCAAGATTTATTATAAAGAGCAGTAATTAGGCCATGTGGTATTGACTCAGGGATAGAAACATGGAACAGAATGCAGGCTCTAGAAATATTCCCAGGCGTGAGAACTGGGTGTGGGATCGACGTAGTATTAGAAATCAGTGAGGTGATCACCAACTTCCCAGTCAGGGATGGACCAACTGGCAAGACACATGGCAAAACAGAAAATTAAATTTCCACTTCATCCCTAACACGAAAGAAATTCATGCTGGGATAAAGAACTAAATATGAAAAAGAAAACTTTAAAACTTTTAAAGAAAAAAAATAAGTATTTTTATGACTTTGAAGCAAGGAAGAATTTCTTAGCCAAGACAGAAGCAGCACAAACTCATAAAAATATTGATAAATATCACAACATTAAAATTTAAAACTTCTGCGGCTGAGCACTGTGGCTTATGCCTGTAATCCCAGCACTTTGGGAGGCTGAGGCAGGTAGATGGCTTTGGGAGGCTGAGGCAGGTAGATGGCTTGAGCCCAGGAGTTTGACACCAGCCTAGGTAACATGGCGGAACCCCGTCTCTACCAAAAATAGAAAAATTAGTCAGGTGTGGTGGTGTGCTCCTGGAGTCCCAGCCTCTAGGGAGTCTGAGTTGGGAGGATCAATTCAGCCCGGGAGGGCAAGGCTGCAGTGAGGTGAGATCACTGCCTGCCATCCTGGGTGACAGAGGAAGACCCCGAAAAGAGAGAGAGGGGAAGGGAGGGAGGGAGGGAGGGAGGGAGGGAGGGAGGGAGGGAAAAGAAAGAAAAAGAAAGAAAGAAAAAGAGAAAGAAAGAAAAGTTTTTAAACTCTGCTGTGTGACAAAAATGCCAACAAAAAAAGACAAATCATTGTCTGGAGGGTGACATTTCTAGGATATATATCCATCAAAGACCTGTATGTGGAATACATAAAGAAATACGTACTGAGAAAAATACAACTCAGTAGAAAAACACAAAGGATCAGAATGAGAAGTTCATACAAAACGAAATTCAGATGATCAGTAAATGTAAAAGATTCTTGAACTCACTAGCATAAACTGTAAAAGTGACACATGATAAGGTGCCATTCCATACCCAACAGACTGGCAGAGAGTGAGAGGCAGGTCACACTGACAATTGGGAAGGACTTCAGGGAAGAGGGACTTTGGCAGTGTGAAGAGCCCATTTGCAACATCAAGTGAAGTTATAGACAGGCATGTCCTGACTCAGCAACTCCATTTCTAAATGTATACTCTAGAGCCACGCTACCCAGCACAGTCATCACCAGCCACATATAACTTGAGCACTTGAAACATGACCTGTCCAAATTATGAGACACACACTGGATTTGAAGACTTGGTCTGCAAGAAATAATGTAAACTATTTTATTAATGTTTATATTGTTCATATCTTGAAATGGATATATTGGATATATTGGGTTAAATGTAGCATCAAAATTAATTTCAACGGTTTCTTTTTTTACCTGTTTCTTTTGCTTTTTTTTTTTTTTTTTTGAAACAGAGTTTCACTCTTGTTGCTCAGGCTGGAGTGCAATAGCATGATCTCAGCTCACTGCAACCCCCGCCTCCTGGGTTCAAGCGATTCTCCTGCCTCAGCCTCCCGAGTAGCTGGGATTACAGGCATGCACCATGACACCCAGATAATTCTGTATTTTTAGTAGAGACGGGGTTTCTCCATGTTGGTCAGGCTGGTCTTGAACTCCCGACTTCGGTTGATCTGCCCACCTCGGCCTCCCAAAGTACTGGGATTATAGTGTGAGCCGCCATGCCCAGCCTCTTTTTGCATTTTCTAATGTAGCTACTAGAAAATTTAAAATTACATATGTGATTTGCATTTGTGGTTCTATTATATTTCTATTGGCCAAAGCTGCTATAGAGAATTCTGGCCATTGTACACAAAGACATGTCCAAAATTTAATTGTGGATTGTTTGAAATAGGAAAATTTGGAAGCATTTGGGCCCAGGGACAGGAAAATGATAAGAAACACATTGCTGGAGGATTTATACAGCTAAGGAAACGTATGTAAAAGTGAAAAAAGAAAAACAAAAATAATGTGTACAATTGAAAACAAAGTAATTCAATGTGTCACTTAAAGATAGAGAGGAAAGGACTCATATAGAATAAAAGTATAAAAACATGGATGGAAGGGTTTTGTGAGCGCTTCAAGAAAGCGATTAGCTCTGGGGAAGAAAAAAGAATAGGGTGGGTGGTACACAGAGAATTTCAATTCATCAGTAGCGGCTTACTTTCTTAAGCAACTTGGCCAGGAACGGTGGCTCACACCTGTAATCTCAGCACTTTGGGAAGCTGAGGCAAGCAGATCCCTTGAGCCCAGGAGTTCAAGACCAGCTTGGCAAGCATGGCAAAACCCAGTCTCTAGGAAAAAAAAAATACAAAAACTAGCCAGGCATGGTGGCACAGGCCTGTTGCCCCAGCTACTCCAGAGACAGGTGGGAGGATTGCTTGAGTCTGGGAAGCAGAGGTTGCAGTGAGGCGACATCGCACCACTGCATTCCAGCCTGGGCAATAATAGAATGAGACCTTGTCTCAAAAACAACAACAACGACAACAACAAAAACCCAAATACTCTCTCAGCTTCATGTACTTGTGAATGTAGAAAGACATAAGACATAGATAGTCTTCAGTTATATCATTGATCACCACTAATTTTTAAACAATTTTCCAATGATTGCGTGCACATATATATATATATATATATATATATTTTTTTTTTTTTTTTTTTTTTTTTTTTTTTGAGACAGAGTCTTGCTCTGTCACCCAGGCTGGGGTGCAGTGGCCGGATCTCAGCTCACTGCAAGCTCCGCCTCCCAGGTTTAGACAAATGGTATATATTATTCACCCTGTAATTTTGGTTTATTTTCTTTTAGACTTTTTCCGTTGTATATTTTTTGGAACAGTTTTAATATGTTCACTTATCACTTACCCTGACTTTTTAACACCTAGTGTTATAAATGTTACTTATGTTTACATAGCAAAAAAAAAAAAAAAAACCATATGGTCTAGGCAAATATGGCAAAGTATCAACATTTATCAAATATTTGTCAAATATGGGTGGTGGCTACATGTTATTTGTTATGTTTTTCTCTGAATTTTTGTGTGTTTAAAATAGTTCGTAATTTTAAAAAAGAAACAGGTCATGAAGAGTGTTATACTGATGCTAAGGAATTTGAACTTTATTCTATTGGCCAATATTTGGAAGCCACTGAAGACTTTTAAACAGGGGATGAGACTTCCGTCTTGAGAGACCATTTGTATTCTGACAATCTCATTTTAGGTTCATCAAGTCCACTAGCTAATAAAAGTCAAGAACAAAAATCACCATATTTTATTGCTTCTGGCACAGTTTTCTTCACATTTTAACAATTCTGAAATTGGAATGCATCTCACTGGTCACACAACAGTCGTGGCATTGTTGTCATTGCAGAATGGGTATCAGCTGCTTCGACAGAAGTCCTGGGGACAATAGTGGAGAACTCTGACATGCTGCATCACCAATGTGCTTCATGGCACCGTGGATGACATCACATGGGGAAAGTGACATCTGCCACTCAGAATCAAAAAGCGATTTGGAAGAGGCAAGTTTGATATGTGAAGGAGTTTTGGGAAAGCATTAACTCATTTGGTTGGCCTGTATTTTTTTTTATATACATGCATAAGAGTGAAAATTTTTTTCTTTCTTAATTTTTTAAAATTATGGTAAAATACACATAAAATGTACCATCTTAACCATTACCAAGCATACAGTTCAGTGGCATTAGGTATAGTCACACTGTTGTGGAACCATCACCACCATCCAGCCCCAGATCTTTCTCATCTTGTAAAACTAAACTTCTGTACCCATTAAACAATAACTGCCCATTCCCCTTTTCCTCCAGTCCCTGGCAACCACATTCTAACTTTCTTTTTTTTTCTTTGAGACGGAGTCTCACTCTATCACCCAGGCTGGAGTGCAATGACACTGTGTCAGCTCACTGCAACCTCCACCTCCTGGGTTCAAGCAATTCTCCTGCCTCAGCCTCCCTAGTAGCTGGGATTACAGACACCCACCACCACACCTGGTTAATTTTTAAAAAATATTTTCAGTAGAGACGGGGTTTCACCATGTTGGCCAGGCTGGTCTCGAACTCCTGACCTCAGGTGACCCGCCCACCTCGGCCTCCCAAAGTGCTGGGATTATAGGCATGAGCCATTGTACCCGGCCCCCTAACTTTCTATCTCTATGAATTTGCCTACTCTAGGTACCTCAGTTAGGTGGAATCATACAATACCTGTCTTATTTCACTTAGCATCATGTTCTCAAGGTTCATCTACACTGTAGCATGTGTCAGAATTTCTTTCCTTTGTAAGGCTGAAAAATACTTGAATGTATGTACCACATTTTGCTTATCCATTTATCCATGAATAAACACCTGGGTTTGCTTCTGCCTTTTGGCTCTTGTGAATAATGCTGCTATGAATATGGCTGTACAAATATCTCTTTGAGACCCTTGTTTCAATTCTTTTGGGCACATACCCAGAAGTGGAGTTGCAGGATATGAATCATATCTATTTTTAATTTTTGAGAAACTGTCAGACTGTTTTTCATCATGACTGTGCCATTTTACATTCCCCCCAACAGTGCACAGATCCCAATTTCTCCACATCCTCACCAACACTTTTTTCTTTTTTTTAAAAAAATAGTATCCATCTGTATTAGTCTGCTCTCCCATTGCTAATAAAGACATACCAGAGACTGGGTAAATGATAAAGGAAAGAGTTTTAATGGACTCTTAGTTCCACATGGCTGAGGAGGCCTCAAAATCACAGCAGAAGGAGAATGAGGAACAAAGTCACGTCTTACATGGAAGTAGCGAAGAGAGTTTGAGCAGGGAAACTCCCATTTATAAAACCATCAAATCTCATGAGACTTATTCACCACCACCAGAACAGTATTGAAGAAACTGCCCCCATGATTAAATTATCTCCACCTGGCCCCACCCTTGACATCTGGGGATTATTACAATTCCAGGTGACATTTGGGTGGGGACACAGCCAAAGCATATTATCTTAATGGGCATGAGGTGATATTTCATAGTGGTTTTGATTTGCATTTCCTTAATAGTAAATGATGTTGAATATTTTTTCATGTGCTTATTGGTCATTTGTATATCCTCTTTAGAGAAATGTTTATTCAAGTCTTTTGCCCATTTTTTTATTCAAGATGCTTGGTTTTTTGTGGAATGATTTTTTAAATCTATGTTTAAGCCTAAAAGAATGTTTTCAACAAATGTAAAACAAATATTCTAAGAGAAAAGGAAGCATTATATCACAGATTAAGTGGAAGGTTTTTTTTTGTCCTTCTTAATGGTACATAAAATAACATTAAACCTTACAATTAATAGCATTTTATTTTACTTATTTTTTGAGATGGAGTCTCGCTCTGCTGCCCAGGCTGGAGTGCAGTGGCGTGATCTCAGCTCACTGCAACGTCCACCTCCCAGGTTCAAGCAAGTCTCCTGCCTCAGCCTCCCTAGTAGCTGGGACTCAGGCACATGCCACCACGCCTGGCTAATTTTTGTATTTTTAGTAGAGATGGGGTTTCATCATATTGGCCAGGCCAGTCTCGAACTCCTGACCTGAAGTGATCTGCCCACCTCAGCCTCCCAAAGTGCTGGGATTACAGGCATGAGCCACCATGCCTGGCCATTAATAGCATTTTAGATTCAATTAAATAATGGTTATAATGAGAGGATGACTTAATGAACTATTGTCAAATGTACTGAAATAATTTTTAAATATTTATATAAATAAAAGAATGTTGAACACATAAGAATGTAAGATTTAAAATATATTTAAATAAGAAATTATTTTGAATCCAAATACAGTATCAAATGAATTAGAATAGTTGAAATTTAGGTAGGAATAAACAGTTATAATTTCACTTCGGCAAGTAGAATTTTGGGATAATGTCAAAAACTGAAGCAAAAAGGAGAGAGTGCATCAGTATGCATTTGCTCTACAGATTTTTTAAAATTCTATCATCCTTCATAGGAAAAGAAGGAGCGGGTTCACTACCTCCTTGGTGAAAGAAGACCACATAAAATCAAATTATATCTAGTAGACCTTACCTATTTTTTCCTTCCTTCCTTCCTTCCTTCCTTCCTTCCTTCCTTTTTTCCCTCCTTCATTCCCTCCCTCCCTCCCTCTTTTCTTCCTTCCTCTCTCTCTCTCTCTCTTTCTTTGTTTCTCTCTTTCAAGACAGAGTCTTTCTCTGTTACCCAGGCTGGAGTGCACTCGCACCATCTCAGCTCACTACAACCTCTGCCTTCCGGGCTCAAGTGATTCTCCTGGCTCAGCCTCCCAAGTAGCTGGGATTACAGGTGTGTGCCACCACACCCAGCTAATTTTTGCATTTTTAGTAGAGACGGGTTTTCACCATGTTGGCCAGGCTGGTCTCCTGACCTCAAGTGATCCACCTGCCTCAGCCTCCCAAAGTGCTGGGATTACAGGCATGAGCCACCATGCCCAGCATTAGCCTATTGTTATAGCAGAAAATTCTTAGACTGACCCCCTATTTTTTTCTACTCCTTTGTCACAGATGTCTGACATTTCTTTCACTGAATAAAAAGGTTCTTGGTTCATGAAAAGAGATAACACTTAAAATACAATTGCCTGGTCACCATCATCACTTGTAATGGTCAGAGTCCTTAGTTGCAGGCAACAGTGTCCACTCTAGCTTAGATTAGGTAGAAAGGGATTTATTGAAAAATATTTGACAACACCAGAATCTCCAGGAGAACTAGCCAACTAGGCTGTGTGTTCATATGGTCACTACAATGAAACCAGAAAAAAATGCCTAGTTCTCGTTCTAGTGAAAATGCTGCTGCCTCCACTGCCTGCCAACTGTGATGTCACAAACTCGGCCTTGACTGCTTGGGAGGACCTGACTCCTCTGCCACTGTGCTTGCTGGAAGGCCCAGTTCTTCTACAGAGGGATGGTCCTGTAGTTTGCTTCTACATCCAGGTCTTACAGGCGTGCACATGATTGGGAGGTTCGAGGTCATATGCTTGCATCATAGCTGCATAGGAGTCTAGAAAAGATCATATTGCACACTCTCACCTCTATGACATAGGCAGACAAATCCTATAGGGATTGAAATAGGAATGTGAGTTGAGCTGGCAAACCTAACAATAGCTGCCAAACTCCTGGACTGAAACACAAGCTGAAATATAAACAATGAATCAAGAAGCATAAATAGGCCGGGCACCATGGCTCACGCCTGTAATCCCAACACTTTGGGAGGCCGAGGTGGGAGGTTCACTTGAGCCCGGGAGTTTGAGACCAGCCTGGGCAAAATAGTGAGACCCTGTCTCTACAAAAATAAATTAGCTGGGTGTGGTGGTCCCAGGTACTAGGAAGGCTGAGGTAGGAGGATCACTTGGACCTGGGAGATTAAGGCTGCAACCACTGCACTCCAGACTTCACAATAGAGCAAGACTCCGTCTCAAACAAAAATCAAGAAGAAGAGGAAGAAGAAGAAGGAGGAGGAGGAGAGAGAGGAGGGGGGAGGGGGAGGAAGAGGAGGAGGAGGAAGGAAGAGAAGAAGGAGAAGGAGGAGGAGAAGGAGGAGGAGGAGAAGAAAGAAGAAGAAGGAAGAGAGAAGGAGAAGGAGGAGAAGGAGAAGGAGAAGGAGAAGGAGGAGGAGGAGGAGGAGAAGAAGAAGAAGAAGAAGAAGAAGAAGAAGAAGAAGAAGAAGAAGAAGAAGAAGAAGAAGAAGAAGAAGAAGAAGAAGAAGAAGAAGAAGAAGAAGAAGAAGAAGAAGAAGAAGAAGAAGAAGAAGAAGAAGAAGAAGAAGAAGAAGAAGAAGAAGAAGAAGAAGAAGAAGAAGAAAGAAGAAGAAAATATAATAGTTAACTTTCTCAACTTCAATAAGACAGGGTCCCAAGAAGAGGCTAGGGTTTCTTGGATATCTGAAGTGAAGGAAGCATCAACCTTAGAGGAAGAAAAGGAACCAGACAAAACAGGGGACTAAGGCTGGAATAGACAAAACCTCCCCATTCATCATTTGTTATAGGAGAGCCTCTTATCTTCAGCGAGATAGGACTAATAGGAGTTGTCATCCATTCTAAATCCAAGCTCTGCCGAGTCTGCATTATGAAGTTTTCCCTCCGTTTTTAAGGGAGATTTACTTATACATTGACTTCATGCCCAAAGGATTCATTGAATGAATCACACAAGGAGTACAGCATATAATCTTATTATTAGGTTGGTGTAAAAGTAATTGTGGTTTTTGGCAATAAAAATGGCAAAAACCACAGTTACTTTTGCTCCAACCTAATACATTAGACACTTGTAGCTCAAGAGATATTTTCTCCCTGAAGATCTCTGATAATTTACAATATTTGGGCTCCATGAAGCCAGGTATCAAAGACATCTGCAGAAGTCACCACACACCCCACCACCTTCAAGACCT